GTTCAGACTCAAGTCCTGTGTGTGATGCCACATTCAGGACATTCAGTGTCTTCATCGTTTTTCTAGAACAGATTACAAATCGCCTGAAAATGGTACAAACAAGTGGCAACATGTGTGATGAAGGTGTTGTGCTGGGCTATATCATGCAACTTACGCTCGCTCCATTGCGGAGATGTTCCCGCAAGAGTGCGGAGAACTTAAATTTATTTATTTATTTCAAATGTGAAATGTTACCAATATACTCACGGACCACTACTCACGGACCACCAGTGGTCCGCGGACCACACTTTGAGAAACACTGATCTACATCCTCTGTCTCGAGCCAGTTAACTACCGGGCCTTCTAGAATACCCTGGAACCGAGGGAAACTCTGAAAGAATACGCCCATTGGCTACAAATCAATATACAGTACAGGGTTCTTACACCTTTTCCAAAGTCAAATTCAAGCACTTTTCAAGCATTTTCAAGGTACATTTTCCAGCTTTTCAAGCATCTTACAGCTGTTGTAAATTACATTTTTATATACACATACTCAAATGCAGTGTTGGGAAAGATCACTTTCTACATGAACTAGTTCAGTTCACAGTTCACACATATTAAAATGAACTAGTTCAGTTCATAGTTCATAATTCAAAATGTTGAATTAAAGTTCATGGTTTCAAAAATGAACTAATTTATAGTTTATAGTTATTTTTTCAATACGTTGCTGCGAGCTATTATTTGTCAAAATGATTGCCACAACCCATATAGAACCACAGACAGCAATCAGAATACTGGCATTTCCATAACGCTTTGCTGCCGCCCATTCAGTCCACACTAGTAGCAGCTGCAGCTTTCATCTCTACAGTATATTTTCAAAAACATGAGGAAAAACGTGCTGCTTGAATGGTCTTTATTAAGTATAATAATCTAAATATACTTAAAGTACCAAAAGTGAAAGTAGTCATTGTGCAAACATATAACATATAAACATGTGCCGACATAACTCTGTACTAACACAACACGAGGTAGGGACCAGGCTGAGGTATGAAACTAAGGTTACAGGCAAACGTTAGATTTTTTCCGTCTGAGTCAGTACTGACTTTAACGTAAAACTCTTTTAAATGCTCATACGCCGACGCCGTAGAGTCTGACTCTGAGCGAGTGCTGCTGCAGCTGCTCTCGGCTTCGTCCATACTAATTCATTCATTCATTCAATGCTCGCCGGTTACGCGGTTCCACATTGTTTGTTGTGAGGAGTCTGATGACGTATATTTTAGTGCGACAGCCAGGGGTGACAGGCGCGTATGCGTCACAGGCAGCTTGCTGTTGCCAGATTGGGTGGTTTTCCGCATTATTTTGAAGCCTGTTTACGGTGTGTTTTAACTGGGTTTTCGGCTGAAAGGCATAGGAAATCTGGCACCCTTTTGAACGCCGTTATAATACAGTGCTGAGAATGAACGCACTTTTGAACGCCGTTATACAGCGCTGAGAATGAACGCGTTCTCAATTACGTTCATCTAGCGGAAATACAGTACGTTCAGTTCACGTTCGCCCAAAATATGAACGCGTTCAGGTACATCACTGCTCAAATGATTATTTCCCTACCTCACATTAAATCAGATGTTCTTTATGCTATAAACAACCAAATGTGTGTTTCGTGATAGCCTTCTACACGAGGATGGAAAATTAAAGAAAAGAAAACTAAGTTTAATATTTCAAAATTAGTGATCTGTACGTAGACTGGGCATCCCATATAACCTGTCTGAGCCAATATAAAACAATCAGCCAAATAACTTTTCAATATATTATTGATTACTATTTTTGAGGTACTTTTAGGTTGGCAGTGAACATAAGTCTGAGGTAAATGGTCTACTTTTGCTTCACTACATGTATTTAATACCTTTAGTGACTTCACAGATGTGGATGAATGATGTGAAATATAATCAAGTGTTGAATCAGACTTTAGTTCCACCTGGAGTAAATCCACCAGCTACCCTGCAGTATACAAAGTCATTCAAACTAGCTGCACCTTTACCAGCTTTGAGAACACTTTCATGATCAATCATTATAAAACATATCATATATATTATTCTGAAATGGACCAATCTGCACAATGAATACTTTTACTGTCGCTACTTTCACTATATTGTGATGATAATACTTTTCTACTTTTACTTGAGGAACATTTTAAATGCAGGACTTTTACTGTAACAGAGTATTCCTACACTCTGGTACTTCTACTTTTACTAAGTACAAGATCTGAGTACTTATAATTTCACTACAAGATCTGAGTACTTGTACTTTTACTCAAGTACAATATCTGAGTACTTGTACTTTTACTCAAGTACAATATCTGAGTACTTATTCCACCTCTGGTAGTGTATTAGTCTGAATTGTAGCCACAAAATCACACAGAGCTGCATAAAAATAGACTCACAAAGGTAACAAGTGGAAAATAATATGTACAAATGTGTACAATGATTTGTAGGTAATTTTGACTACTCAAGACACCTGACTTATACATCTTCAAAGGAAGACTGTGTTCATTCTACAATTACATGGGATTAAAGCAAAATGTAGTTTTACTTGTATAATATTTCAATTTTATATAAAAGACAGTTTGTTTTCATTTGTTTTCAAATAAACAAAGTATTGGCTTTCAGAATATTAAACTTGTTTCGGCAAATTCAGATGATAAATACAACTTTGAAGCTTCGGCATAATTACAAGCAGAGAACGGACTAATGTAACATCACAGCAAGCATAACAACAGCCGGTGTTTCTTGTGAGTGTTTCCCCGGTACACAAACACAAAAATACACACACACACTCGCCAGCTTCCCCCAGACCAGTAATACAAACGAAAATGTGTCTTCGGGTCAATGTGACTGATTTCGATAGATCAAGTCACATTTGGTTTAGGCACGAAACATACTACCAGTAGAAATACATTGCTTTCAAAATCGCTCTGTGTCGAATCAATAGATTATATTTCGTGACTATGACACGAAATGCCGTGAGTGCTTCATCCTCTGAACACCACAGGATGGCGACTGTAACGCACATAACATAGGTACGCTCCTCTGAAATGATTGTCCCCTGCAATTATTATTATCCCTCAATCGACTTCGCTATTCAGCTCGCTAACGTTAGCTTAAATAAACGTAACATGCAACGTTAGCCTAATCTAAAATGCTCTACTACGGCGTACCTTTCATGTGGCTCGTCAGCGCAGACTCTCGCATCGTTATTTTTGCAAACTTTGCAGGAGGCTACTCGTGGGCTTGACCCTCGTCTTAGCCATGGCTTGTATTTGTCTTCTGCTAGCCAACGCTCGTTGAAACTGCAACCTCCTCCTGGCACACAGTCATCTATCACTCTCATCAGAATGCCCAGGTCACACGTAACACAAACACTTGCAGGTCGCACGCATAGCGCGGGAAGGCCGGAGCAGAGCTGTTTTATGTAGAAGCGAAGCAATTATTTTCTTTTAATCTAAAAAGCAAACTATTCAGTCAGACAGACATTTATTGTAAAAGTAAAGCATTTACATTTTCAAGCACCATTCCCAAAATTCAAGCACTTTCCCAACTTTGAAAACACCACGTCAAATTGCAAGCTTTTTCAAGGATTTCAAGCACCCGTACGAACCCTGAATATATGATTGGTTGATCAAACTGTCAGTCCAAACGTACGCTCTCATTCAGTGCAACGGCCAGGGCATTCTATCAAGGATGTATAATACTGTTGGGGCAGAAAACTCTGCTCCGCGCCGATCCTATATGAGTTTGTTTTAAAAGGAAAACTCAAAACAACCAGGATAGGGGTTAAACAATAATCTGTTTTAATGATAAAAGGTAAGAATACAATACACTTTTCAAAGGGGTAGGCCCACCCCTGCCCTGGTCCTAATGCCGGGAGAACATCATCTTGACGGCAGGAGGAAAGAGACCGGACACAAGGACTCAACAGGAGATATTGTAAGAACAACAGGAGGAGCTGTGTGGATGGTCCTCCCATACAGGTCATCTATTGGCCAATATACAAACGATGGGCTTTCGTAGCGTATCAGCGCGCGCCAGCCGAGATGATCCGGAAACAGTCTCTTAGTTTGAAGCAAAACAAACACATCTGGTGTTCGCTGTCTCGTATTACTGCAGCTTTCACACACACACATTCTCCCTATGCATGTTTGACGCACACACATCTTATCCTCCAGCTTAGGGGTGGGCGATATTGAAAAATATGTTATCACGATATTTTCAAGCAGTATCACGATAGACGATATATATCACGATATTTTTTCATGTCGGTTATTATGGTTATTTTTCAAGTTACTTAACAGTACAAGCACCTACAAGGTAACAGAAACTAAAACAAAAAGGAATAACAGACCAAAATAGCATTTCAAGCTGGTTTTATTTCTGAAATGAACAAGTGAGCAGTGAACATCAATAAACATGAACATCAATAAACATATTATTATTATATAACAAATATAAGCCAACAGAATCAAACAAGACAATAAATAAAGTGCAAAACTGTCTGAATCCTGACTAGACAGCTTTAGAGCATGTCTTCACATTGTATAGTTTTCTTTTTTTTAAACTTGTTTTACTTTTCTTTTCTTGTTGACAGAACACAATCACAGATTTTTTGCCAGGAAAATCAGTTTGTCAACTTTCTCTGGCTTGAGAGTTGCCCTTTGGCATGTGACAATATTGCCACCAGTGCTGAACACTCTCTCTGAGAGAGCACTAGTTGCCGGAATGCAGAGATACTTTCTAGCTAATTGGCTAACCCTTGGAAAGTTTCCATCATGGTTTTGCCACCATTCCAGAGGATCCATTTCACTGTCTGCATTTGGTACGGACAGGTAGGACTTCAATTCTGCATCTATTGCTTCTTTTAGGGATGGAGAAGCAGCAGATGTGCCAGCTGAAGTTACAGAGGTCTTCAAAAAGCTGGCCAGTGTTTTCTTAGCTTTCTTTTTGTGGGGGCCCTGGTTTGCTTCTGCCTCAAGGCTCTGTGATGTGGAGGTAGATGAAGATGCTGCGGGACACTGTGCTTGTAAAGTGACAGTCAGCAAGGACTCAAGCTCAAACACAGCTCTGGCTTGTATCTTCTCTAAGTTGTCACTGTCAATGTACTTTATTTTGAACCTTGGATCAACAAGTGAAGCCACATCCAGCAGTTCATCAGTTTTGGGATCCTTGTATTTGTCAGTGAGGTAGTTGAGAATGGTCATCTTCATTTCTCCTGAGAGGTCAGTGTCATCATCATCCGCTTTTAAGAGGTGTTCTTTGAACAGGTGAAGCACTGGCTTTGCATAAGACACACTCACATAGTCCTCACCTAAAAAGAAAAGAAAAAAAGAGGACAAATAGTAATTATGTTTGTATATTGAGTTGTATTGATTGTATTGCCACTTTTCTAATTAAAAAATATATAAATAATAAAACATTTAAATAAACTCACCTGAGAGTGCATCTGTGAAGTCCCGTAGTGGACCCAGGGCCTTCACTACAGACTCCATCACATCCTTTTCGTTGTATCCAGCGACCAAACACCTTGTCTTCTTGTCTGCCTTAAGGATCTCAGAAATGGCCTTTTCCTGTTCCAACACTCTCTCAATCATAGCGAGTTTGGAGCCCCATCGAGTTGGTGAGTCGGTGATGAGTTTGTGCGGAGGTAGCTTCATCTCTGTTTGAAGCCTAGCCAACTCCCTATTTTTCTTCCAGCTGAAGGAGAATGCACTGACCATTTTCTTCAAGATGGACACTGTGCGATCAACACGAGGGTCTTTGGCACTTTTTTCTAAGAAATAGAAGATGAAGATTTATTAATCTGGTTTAACCTCCTCTGCCAACTATTTTGCATAACAATGCAAAGTTTGGCCTAGCTTGTAGAATGCAATATTTATTATCACTACTAAATATATATATTTTTTTTTTAAATAGGACTTAATTGGTTAATCACACAATACATTTTGATTCACATTTTCATTAAACTATTTATATTTTTAATTCTACTATTTTTTTTCTTGTTTTGTAGATATGGATTTTGATATATTTTATTGAAATGCATCACACACAAACACACACGAAATGAAGAAACTTATCATTTGTAGTCATATATTAATATAATACTTGTTTCACTCACCGATGGCCAGGTGAAGTCTGTGACCAAAGCACTGCAGGCGAGTCCAGGCGTTAAGATCCAAAGCTTTAACCATGTTGGCTCCACTGTCTGTGGTCATGCAGATCATGTTCTCCTCTTTCAGTCCCCAGCCTTGAAGTAAGTCCCTTAGGCCATGTGCGATTAGTTCTATATACCGGGAAGTATATAGTTTGGAGACATGCACTTTGCAGCTTCCACTTGTGAATGAAATGAATGGTCAGACTCATATACGGTTCTGACGTGCGGCTAGACCATAAATCACTGGTTGTAGCAAAAAAACTGGACATTTTGAATTTCCTGTTGTACCTTCTCTCGGCATTCAGTGTACATTTGTGGAATGGCCTTTGTAGAAAAATATTTTCGACTGGGCACCTGGTACCGTGGGTCAACTGTTTTCATCAGCCTCACGAAACCTTTGTTTTCCACGCTCTGTATTGGTTGCAGCCTCATCCGTGGCCGAGGCAAAGCAGCGGGTGTGGGGAGAAGTTCGGAGAAGACATGGAGAAGGACTTTCGGGCGGCACCAAAGTTGTTCTGGAAAACTGTCCGACACCTCAGGAGGGGGAAGCAGGGAACCATCCAAGCTGTGTACAGTAAGGATGGGACATTGTTGACCTCAACTGATGGAGTGTTAGGGCGTTGGAAGGAACACTTTGAGGAACTCCTGAACCCGACAACTCCGCCCTCTATGTTAGAGGCAGAGCTGGAGTATGACGGGGGATCAACACCAATCTCCCGGGGGGAGGTCACTGAGGTCGTCAAACAACTCCACAGTGGCAAAGCCCCGGGGGTGGATGAGATCCGCCCGGAAATGCTGAAGGCTCTGGGTGTTGAGGGACTGTCATGGTTGACACGTCTCATCAACGTTGCGTGGAAGTCGGAAACGGTACCGAAGGAGTGGCAGACCGGGGTGGTGGTCCCCCTTTTTAAAAAGGGGGATCAGAGGGTGTGTGCCAATTACAGAGGCATCACACTACTCAGCCTCCCCGGGAAAGTTTACTCTAAGGTACTCGAAAGGAGGGTCAGGCCGATTGTCGAACCTCAGATTGAGGAGGAACAATGCGGATTCCGTCCTGGTCGTGGAACGACGGATCAGCTTGTTACTCTCGCAAGGATCCTGGAGGGGGCCTGGGAATACGCTTATCCGGTCTACATGTGTTTTGTAGACTTGGAGAAGGCGTATGACCGAGTTCCCAGGGAGTTACTGTGGGAGGTGCTGCGGGAGTATGGGGTGAGGGGGGTCTCTACTCAGGGCCATCCAATCTCTGTACTCCCAAAGCGAGAGCTGTGTCCGGGTCCTCGGCAGTAAGTCGGACCCATTTCCGGTGAGGGTTGGCCTCCGCCAGGGCTGCGCTTTGTCACCAATCCTGTTTGTAATATACATGGATCGGATTTCGAGGCGTAGTCATGGGGGAGGGGGTCTGCAGTTCGGTGGACTAAGGATTGCACCACTGCTTTTTGCAGATGATGTGGTTCTAATGGCTTCATCGGTCTGCGACCTTCAGCACTCACTGGATCGGTTCGCAACCGAGTGTGAAGCGGCTGGGATGAGGATCAGCACCTCCAAATCTGAGGCCATGGTTCTCAGCAGGAAAACCGATGGACTGTCCACTTCAAGTAGGGAATGAGTCCTTACCCCAAGTGAAGGAGTTCAAGTATCTCGGGGTCTTGTTCTCGAGTGAGGGAACAATGGAGCGTGAGATGGGCCGGAGAATCGGAGCAGCGGGAGCGGTACTGCAGTCGCTTTACCGCACCGTTGTGACGAAAAGGGAGCTGAGCCAGAAGGCAAAGCTCTCTGTCTACCGGGCCATTTTCGTTCCTACCCTCACCTATGGTCATGAAGGATGGGTCATGACCGAAAGAACGAGATCGCGGATACAAGTGGCCGAGATGGGTTTTCTCCGCAGGGTGGCTGGTGTCTCCCTTAGGGATAAGGTGAGAAGTTCGGTCATCAGGGAGGGACTCGGAGTTGAGCCGCTCCTCCTTCGCGTCGAAAGGAGCCAGTTGAGGTGGTTCGGGCACCTAGTTAGGATGCCACCTGGGCGCCTCCCTAGGGAGGTGTTCCAGGCACGTCCAGCTGGGAAGAGACCAAGGGGTAGACCTAGGACCAGGTGGAGGGATTATATCTCTTCGCTGGCCTGGGAGCGCCTTGGGATCCCCCAGTCAGAGCTGGTTGATGTCGCCAGGGAAAAGAAAGTTTGGGGCTCTCTGCTGGAACTGCTACCCCCGCGACCCGACCACGGATAAGCGGAAGAAGATGGATGGATGGATGGATGTATTGGTTGCATATCTTTGGCCACATAAAACGCCACCGCGTCAGTTATGTCTTTCCACCGTTTGCTAGTCTTTTCATAAGGAGCCCCTTTATGAAATGCCTGACCTATGGTAGTTTGTTTTGGTGCAGTCGCTGCGGTAGATTGTGCATTCACACGCGGGGGACCTTGCACTCTTACAGTCTCTGCATGCTCTTTCTGGTGCTTGCGTTTGAGGTGGTCTCGTAAGCCCGACGTGTTGCCATCTGTCGCTTTGAAATGTCCTTGTTTGCACATTTTGCAAATTACATTTGTTTGCTCCGTGTCTGTTGTCTTATAGCCAAAATACTTCCATACCACAGACGTAGAGTTCTTTTTGGGGACTAAATCTAATTGTTCTACATCAGAATCTGACTCTCCGTCCATTATTGCTGTGTGTGCAGACTGTCAACAGTGTATTTTCCCGCTGAAAAGAAAGGGGGCGGGGACTTTGGGAGCGTGTCAAACAACTCGGACTGAACGAAAGCAGAGGTGCGCTGACATTGTGAAATCGATCGGGCTTGATATATGGTGAAATTAAAATCAGTAGGTGAGGCTGGGGGAGCGGGAGGGTAAGAGGCTCTCCGTCCGCTGTCATAGCCCCCTGCGCCGCACACGGAGAGCCTCTTCCCCTCCCGCTATTTTTTTTTTTCTATTTTTTTTCTTCAATTTTTTTTTTTTTTTTTATCACGATAGGACGATATCTCTGAAAAAGCATATCGTGGAGACCTAATATCGTCACGACGATATATATCGTCATATCGCCCACCCCTACTCCAGCTCACCACACCAATGTCACATGTTTTTCTTTATGAAAGCCATACTTGTTGGGGTTTAACAGTCATCATCTCATGACCAGCTAACCAACAAAGATTAACTGTCCTCATACCCTCAGGCCATCTCTGAACTTTCTTCCACCCGAAGTCAGCTCACCCAGAATCAGAAGGACCATTGTCTCTCTAATTGTGTGTGACCCAATCGTCTCCTGCTCTTTAGGAGTCTTGAAATGAACGCACATACATTTATCTCATTAACTAACACTTAACATCCTATATATCAGGTGACATAAAATTGAATATACCAGAATTACACTGCATTAAACTTCCTGCTATAACACGGTACTTCAATTTTCTTCAATACCTTGGTTGAAGGATATTCTACCCAGAGACCCAGAACAAGATCTGATTGGTTGCTTTCTTTTCTAACACAACACCACTGAAATGCGTAGTGCATGGTCCGAGAAGGACAAACAAATCAACGTAACACTGTAATATTACAGATCAACAACACAGATACCATTCTCATTTATTCATTTTATATACATTTTATTTATATAATTAAATTGTTTGTTTTATCTGAGTGTTCCAGGGTATTCTCTGAATACCTTGAAGGCCCTGACGGTTCGCCACTGTTGAAGCGGACCTCAGCTCCGCTGGCTGTCGCTGCTTTCACGGAGAAAATGTCCTGTGGAAAAGATGGGATGTAAAGCGCTCGTTTGAGCCTCGTTTTCACTTGCCGTCCCTCGCTGTCGAGCAGAACAACTTCGGCTTCTCCTCTCATCTTCGCCATCCCGGTCGTTTTCGTTCCATCTGCCAGCTCTATCACATGGTCCTCGGGTCTAAAGCTCTTATCGATTGTCTTAAACTTTGCTGGGTCATTAATCATGTGTGTCGTGGCACCACAGTCGACCATAAGACCACTCTTATTTCCTACTTGATTTTGACAGTCACTTATTTTGAAAAAGAATGATGCACCGGTATCATCCTCCGTGTCTCCTTCTGCCTTCTTCACCTGATCACGGCCCAGCCCTCTGCCTCGCCCCCTTTCTCGGTGTGGCGTGTCCCACCGTCGCTCCTCTCGCCTCGCTAGGATCTCGTTAGGGCATGTCCTAGCCATATGCCCCATATTTCCGCATGTGTAGCATTCAGTGTCGGCTAAGTCCATCTTCTTCCCTCTTCCACGTCCTCGTGTCTTCGCCCCGCTAGTCCTCATAACGCCGTCCTCTTCCGCATTCATGTCACTCGTCCTATACTTGTCAGTGCTCTCATAGCTCCGCAGTTTAGCTTTGAACTCACCGAACGTTAGACGGTCGTTGGTTTGAGTGACGTGCACGACAAACGGGTTGAATGAGTCCGGTAACCCCTTCACTACCATGGCAATCTGCAACCCGTCACCGATATTTTCTTCAACCCTTCTCAAAGACGTGAATATAGTCTCTGCTCGAATAATATAATCAGTAACAGTCTCGTTGCTTGCTTTGTCGAGAGAAGAGAGTTCACAGTACAGGCTCACGACTCGTGGTTTGTCCTTTCCTGCGTAGTGCTCTCGGAGTATTGCCAACGCTTTTCTTCAATCTCGTTTTGCGTCTCTCATTATGAGTGATAAACTCTTATTATCTAGACACTGCACTAATTCAGCATATGCTTCTGCATTCTTTGTTGCGTCTTCTTCAAGTGCTTGTTCGTCGTTGTAGTCTATCGCTGGCTCTTCCAGGATAACTTCACTGAGGCCGCGCAGTTCCATGTGCGCCAAAAACCTCGTCTCCCATAACTCGTCACCGTCGAATAACAACTTAAACCACCTTTGGCCTCCTTGACTGGGCTCATAACCTGTTGCGTGAAACATTATATTCATCAGAAGTCGCCACGTTTGCAGTCAACCAAAGTAGTTTGTAAGTCTGCTAACGGACAGAAAAAACACACGACCACATCGCTCAGAGTTTGGCCTGGAGTACGGACCGTACATCTGTGCATGCTCATTAGCATCACTACGTTTCAGGCACATTCTGATGATGTCATACACATGAACTGAAACATGACTTTGTTATTATACAAATATGCTTAACA